CCTGTGTAACCCTTCGATGGCCCTCTTTAATCAAGCCACCTTTGACAGTTCTCAGTACTTCACCTTTGACACCTCTGTGGACCATTCAGTGGTGAATAAATACAAACGGAAGAAGACCCGCAGGAAGTCCAGGGTGGTGTTGTATCCAGAAAGCTCCAAAAAGTACCTTCCAACAGAGCAAAAGAGTAAAGCAAAGCGCTGCCTTCTCTTGCTCATTGGCATCATCTGCTTCCAAATACTAAATGCTATTGAGAATCTGGATGACAACCTTCAGAAGTATGACCTAGATGGGCTGGAGAAAACCATGCACCGGGAAGTATTTGGGCAGAAGGTGGCTGTGGACAGAATTATGGAATTGTTGAAAGAATACCTGGCCACCCACATACACAACAAGCCATTAGTGATCTCCTTCAATGGCCCACCTGGGGTTGGAAAGAGCCATGTTGGATGGCTGCTGGCTAAACACTTCCGTTCAGTCATGGACAATGACTTTGTGCTTCAGTACTTTGTGATGCACCACTGTCCAAACAAGGAGGCTACTCCTGCTTGCCAATCAGATTTGTCTGAAAAGATTTCCGAGATGGTCACCAGAGCAGAAATAGAAGAGAAGATACCATTGTTTATTCTGGATGAGGTTGAGCTCATGTCTCCAGTCCTGCTGGATACGCTCAGCAGATTCTTCCAACCGAACCAGACCAACGAGTTCCTCAATGCCATCTACGTTCTAATAAGCAACGTAGGGGGCAGTGAAATCACAACGTTTGCCCTCCAGAATGTTTCCAGTGACCTTCTGCACCAGCAAAGACAAACAGAAGAACTGCTGTACATTATCCAGCCTGTTCTGACCCACTTCCACTCTCTTTGGAAGTCTGCTGACATCATCCCATTTGGTCTGCTGGAGAAGAGTCATGTCATAAACTGCATCTTGGAGGAGATGATGCGGGAAGGGCTGTATCCCGATCAGAGCCATATTGAGAATTTAGCTAGCCAGCTCAGCTATTACACTACAGGAGGCAGGGAGTACGCCATAACTGGCTGCAAGCAGGTCGGAGCCAAAGTCAATCTACTGTAGCAGCAACCATAAATGAGAGGCCAAATCCTGTTCTCGGCACTTTGCACTCAATGGAGATAGCCTGGCTGTACACTGGCATGACTGACAGCAGATTTTGGCCCAAGATGCATTTCTTCAAGAGGACAGATATGAAGCTGTCCCAGTGACCACGTTATAAGAGGGTTCCAGGAGGCAGAACAGCAGCTGTCACCTCTTCTAAGATGAGCTCTGTTCTCCTATCGATTTATCGGACTTGAGTCACTGAACTCCCACTGTCCTGCAAATAATCCCCTGTTGACTAAGGCCAGGTTCTCTCGCTGAGGATATGTCTGCAAAGCAATTGAAGGCCGGGTCTGAGCCCAGGCACAAGCCAACCCCCCTTGTGTCCACACTGTAAATGTGCTAGCCTAGGGCTCCAGATCCAAGGTCCTAGGACCCTGCAGGGCTGGAAGATCCGAGCCCTATTGCTTTCCTGTGTGTACGTGGCCCCAACTTGATTTGTATCCCAGAGTTCCCGGCGGCAGAGGAGCAGCGCTGCAGGCAGCCAGCGCAGCAGCTGGAAGTGCCATTACTGCCTGGCAGAGCATGTTCCCTGTTCCTGCTCCTCTCACAATAGCTGCTCCTGCTCCGGCTCCTCCTCGCTGCTGCGCACAGGGGTGGCTCCAGGCACCAGTGCATCAAGCGCGTGCCTGGGGCAGCAAGCCGTGGGGGGCAGCCTGCCGGTCGCCGTGAGGGCAGCAGTCAGGCTACCTTCGGCGGCTTGCCTGCGGGAGGTCCACCGGTCCCGCGGTTTCGGTGGCAATTTGGCGGCAGGTACGCTGAAGGCGCGGGACCGACGGACCACCCACAGGCGTGCCGCCAAATCCGCGTTCCCAGTGGACCTCCCGCAGGCGTGCTGCCGAAAGCCGCTTGACTACCGTGCTTGGGGCAGCAAAATACATAGAGCCACCCCTGGCTGCGCGGAGTTTGCCCGGAGCAGGGAGCAAAGCTGACAGGTGAGAGGTGGCTCCTGGGGGTCATCCCTCCGCTGGCTGTGCTGAGCCAGAAGCTCTGCCGCTCGCCCTCTGTGCTGGGCGGAGCTTGGTCCTGGGCCCACCCTGCCCTCCCTGGGGCTGTGTGTGCAGGGGCACCCGGGCAGTGTGTACTGTCAGCCCCCAAAACTTCCCCACAGCCTCCTGGGGATCCCTTATTCCTGCCTCCCGGGGTGCGTCAGGAGCCGGGATAAGGAGATTTCTGTGACGTGCTGGAGCATGCTTCACCCCAAGCCCTGGCCATGCACTTTATCACTCCGCAGCCAGCAGCAGCCAGGCGGGGTGTGTGTGTGTTTTTCCTCTGATACCTTCATTAGGTTGAACTTCTGTGCACTGCAGTGTGGATGCCAGAGCCCTAGGGTTTGAGCACGGGTCAGAAAATCCTTAACCTAAGGTTAAAATGCAACGTAGACACTCAAGCCCAGGGTTCCCTGACACAGGTTAGCTGACTCGAGACCCACTAACCCGAGGCTTACATTGCTGTGTAGACAGCCTCCAGTCGTATTGCGACCTCTTTTGTGTCCCTCATACACACGTACCTAGCAGTTTATTCATTGGCGATGTCTCAGCAAGTCTAGGAGATAAGAATAAATCCCCCAGTATATGTACACGGCAGAAGTGATTTAATGTGGGGGAGATGGAGAGACATTTGGGATGACACTCATCAGCATGCTTAGCTGGGTCTCACTTTGTCTTCAGACTCGGAATCTGCAATCTCTGCCTTTCCAGGGTCTGGCTGGACCTGCGATAAAGGCTAACTGGCTTAAGATCAGTCTAGCCAAGCTAGAGATGATGCTGGCAGATAAGGGAAACATTTGGAATAGCTGATGCAGACTGTGACTGTTACCCACCGACCCTTGGTGTCAGAATTATGCATTCTTGGGTTCTTTTTCTCCACGGCTGCTCTTGGATTCCCCGGCAACAGCAGTCTCCTGGAATATGTTCTACCATCTCTGGTTGCCTTAGAAGTTGTAGCCTGATGCAGACTGTGCCTTTGTCACTTCCCGGCTAGATTCCTGCAATGCACTTTTCTTGGGACTATCCTCGAAGACTTCTCGGAAGCATCAGCTAGGGGAGAATGCAGCTGCCTGCTTGTTAAGGTCTTCCTCACGTGGCCTTTGGTATAAACTCTGCTGCTTGTTTTGTTTCTGAGTACAACTCACAGCACTGATTATCTAGAGAGCCCGTACATGGGAATTCACAGGTGCAAGGTAATGTGCATTTTGAACACTTTGTGCACATGGCTGGGTTCGAAAACTACGCTAGAACAGGCGCTGGGCATTGTGTGAACAGCTCTGTGAAACCCAGACTCACTGGGCAGCAGCCGTCAGAAACAAAAATATCAAGTTGCAGGAGGACTAGGAGAGGAAACAGCACTGAAAAATATGATAATACCATTGTTATGGAGCGACAGTCACCTCTCTACCGTTAAAGGTTGTAACCAGCTTCCATTATAAAGCCCTGTTCTAGTCCTGCTTGGAAATCTGGTACATGCAAAGTTTCAACGAAATGTATACAACTGTATACTGGTCTTTATAATATTCCCCCAATTAGAAATACTGTCTGTTGTCTAACCTTTCTGCGTCTCCGTCTAGCTCAAAATCAGTTTGTTGTCTTCACACTTCCTGTACAGTTAACTCTCCTTGAACATTCATGTGCAGTGGAAGAATTGATGAAAATAGCATATAATTAAGCAAAGGTGTTGGTGACTTTTTTATAGGCCCAATACTGTTTGCATTGACTTCATTAGAATTATGTGAATAATGGATTTTTTTTTAGTGGACATTCTGAAATATAGATCAAAATTTGGTTTGGATCCATTTTTTAAAAAAAATTTCTAAGTAAATTTCAAAAAGAAAAGTCATTTTGAATCAAACTCCCAAAATATTTCATTTGGAAAATGTCAAAACAAAATGTGGACTTTTCAACAAAACAGTTTAGTCAATTTGACACAAATTCACAAAAGGTTTCAGTTGATGCAAATCTGCATCTATCAGCAAAAAAAAAAAAAAAAAAAAAAAATTTCCGACCAAAAGTTTTCCCGAGCTGTACGTTTCAATGGAAGTTCTGGCTCTGATCCTGTCCCTTTGATTTCAACAAGAGGGATTTTTTCTCATTGGCTCCAGTAAATAAGCATGAGACATGGTGTGCGTCTGTTGTCCGGAAGTACCTTACAAAGAGGCTGGCTCTAGCTAAGGACTGACCGCGAGTACTTCTTTTAGCTGAAGTGTTGGGGTAAGCGAGGAGCCGGTCACCTCTCCATGGTGGAAGACGCAGTCCAGCTGCCATTCTAAGGCCGATACTCACTCGCCGGTGCTCAGAAATCATCGTGCGAGGTTTGGAATTTTTAGGGCTCACTCTCTGCCAGCTGTTCTGAAAATCTGGAGCAAGCATAGCGGGAACTCTCTGAGACTCAGCCATAATAACTCCCTTTAAAGAAAAAAAGTCAGTGGTTTGTGTGTCTGTCTCCACGAGCCCTGGCATGACAACAGGCTATTGCCGCCTGTAGGAGGCACCCCCCAAACACTGCTCCCTCTGCAACTTCACTCCATGTCTGTTTTGCCCCAGGGCTTCCCCCTGCTGCCTCCCGATGCTCCCCCTGAGCTCACCCCTACTGTCCACTACTACACCCCCCTCACTGCATGCCCCACCCCACAGCCCCAACCCCCAGCCGCCTCAGCCTTCCCTCCATCTGGTACCCGGCCCCCTTCCCTGCCCCCGCTACCCAACTCCACTGTCTCACTCCTTGAGAGAACCGCCTGCTACAGTCGCCACCTCAGTGCCTGGCCCCTGCTACCCTTGGCCCACGCTTGGACTGCTACCCCGATCCCACACAGCACTCTCAGACACACTGCCACCTTCTCACATTTCCTGGTCCTTCCCCTCTGCTGCCCCTGGCAGCCCCATCCCCCATCACTGCTCCCTCCAATTCCCTCACCTGCCACCGCTTCTTCTCCGCTGATATCCGTGCTGCCTCAGTTTCCCCACAGCCACCATTGCCACCCCAGCCTGTGGCCTCAGCACGGTATTCTTACCGTTGCACACTCCATTGGGACAGCTCCACTCCCTCACCGCTCGTCTCTGTCTCCTCCACATACACCTAGCACACCACCCATCATCCTTCCCTCTGCTGTAACCCCGACCCCTCTTCTCCTTTGGGCTCTGGCAGGAGCTGACCAGCCAGGCCTGCATTCAGAATGCAGTGCAGCCAAGGTTCACATCGTAGATGGAGTGTCATTCGGCGTTTTTCATTTGAATCGTGGATTTCTTTGTCTTTGTGCGGTGAAGCCCAGATCCCAGGTTTTTCGGTGAATGCCCTGAACAGTATACAATTGGTCTCTTCCCTGCCTCACTTTCCTATTAGGTGTTTAGAGGGAGAGCATGAGTGGCTGGAGCACTGTGAATCAGGGAACCTCTGTTCTTGTTTAGGTTCTACACAGGGGTAGGAAAACTACAGCCCGCGGGCTCCGTCCAGCCCATCAGACGTTTTAATCCAGGCCTCGAGCTTCTGCTGGGGAGCGGGGTCGGGGGCCTGTCCCACTCCGCACGAGCCGTGCCTCTGCTCGGTTCCCGGAAGTAGCGGCATGCCCCCGCTCCGGCTCCTATGCATAGGGGCAGCCAGGGGGCTCTGTACACTCCCCCACACCAAGCGCCGCCCCTGCAGCTCCCATTGGCTGGGAACCGCGGCCAATGGGAGCTGCAGGAGCAGCATCTACAGACAGGGCAGCGTGCAGAACCGCCTGGCTGGCGCCGCACCTCCACCTAGGAGCTGGAGGGGGGACATGCTGCTGCGTCCGGGAGCTGCAGGGGCGGTGTCTGCGAACGGGACAGCATGCAGAGCCACCTGGCTGTGGCTCCGCGTAGGAGCCGCAGTGGGGACATGCTGCTGCTTCCAGGAGCTGCTTGAGGTAAGTGCCGCCCAGAGCCTGCACCCCTGACCTCCTCCCGTGCCCCAACCCCCTGCCCCAGTCCTGATCCCCCTCCCACCCTCTGAACCCCTCAGTCCCAGCCCAGGGCACCCTCGTGCACCTCAACCCCTCATCCCCACCTCAGAGCCTGTACCCCCAGCTGGACCTCTCACCCCCTCCCACACCCCAACCCCCAATTTTGTGAGCGTTCATGGCCCGCCATACAATTTCCATACCCAGATGTGGCCCTCAGGCCAAAAAGTTTGCCCACCCTGTTCTACCATGAACACGTTGTGTGACCTTGAGTAAGTCACTGCCTGCCTCGGAGCCTCAGCTTCCCTTCTGTAAAATGGGGATAATGGTACAGACACAGCTCAGAGGCATTAATGTTTGTAAATCACATTGTGGTTCCCAGACGGAAGGCGCTGAGCACTGGTTGTTATTTAGTCACCATGAGTAAAGTACTACAGCAGAACCTCAGGGTTACAAACACCAGAGTTACGAACTAATGGTCAGCCACACACCTCATTTGGAACTGGAAGTACGCAATCAGGCAGCAGCAAGACACAAAAAGAAGCAAATACAGTACAGTGTTGTGTTAAACGTAACCTAATACAAAAATAAAGGGAAAGTTTTAAGAAAACGACTTGACAAGG